TCGACCACATCTTTTCCTTCCCTTCGCCTCTCTATTAATGTTCTTGGACACTGAGCTCTGTGAACAGCCAGCCTCTTTAGCGATGACCTTTTGTGTCTTGCCCTCCTTGTGCAAGGTGTCGATGGTCGTCTTTTGGACAACTGTCAAGTCAGCAGTCTTCCCCATGATTGTGTAGCCTATAGAACTAGACTGAAAGACCATTTAAAGGCTTTTGCAGGTGGTTTGAGTTAATTAGCTGATTAGAGTGTGGCACCAGGGGCCATCAATTTTGAACCTTTTCACAATATTCTAATTTTCTGATATGATGAATTTGAGATTTTCATTTGTTGTCATTTGTAATCATCAAAATTAAACAAAATAAACATCTGAAATATATGAGTTTGTATGTAATGTATGAATATAATATACAAGTTTCACTTTTTAAATGGAATTACTGAAATCAATCTACTTTTTCATGATATTCTAATTTTATGACCAGCACCTGTATATAAAGAAAAAACTTCGGCAACCTTTATTCCCTAAGGTGGTATGTGGCTGAATTTCTACTTCACTGCAATAAAAAAAACTGGTGTTTTGCATTGGCCTGTAGAAAAATGCACATACCAAATGGCTCACAAGAAGTGACTGTGGATGAGATTACTGTGCGTACGCATCCCCGCAGCATTGGAATGTTGCTCCACAGGCGCAGGGGGAGAACCCCGACCCCGTTGGAACAGCACTTCGGACAGCACTTCTGAAAAAACAAGATTGGGAGATCCCAGCTCTCGCTGCAACCGTACGCTGGAATGACCCAGATGCAAAAAAGGGCAATGTTGCAAGGAGATTTGTGATATCTGGTATTGCGTGGGTCCTCCTTGTGGCTGGCTCCAAATTCAATTCCGAGTTCCCCCAACAGCTTCAAAAAGGCAATGCTGGATAAACGATATGTTTTGATGATCGTTTCCTCGTTCATTGCAAAAATATTCACACGGAGTGAAAAAATGCGTTCTCTGCGTCTCCTTGCTTGATTTCGATGTTTCCTTCTTGCGACAATAACCGCTGCCATGAGTGCGCAATTACGCATACAGACCATTTACACCTTCTTTTGAAACATGTTAAATATAGAGTCAGATACTGTTAGCAAAATTGCTTTCAGGTTTAATAAATCACTTTGCGAGTGCTAAATTAATATATTTACATGTTCTCCTCCCACAAGACGCACTTTTGCGTGTAAACGCCCCATATTGCATATTCATTGCAGAAAAAGTACTAAATGAATAAGAGGCGCTATTTAGCACATTTTAAAGACCAAATCCTTTTAGCACGCTGTTGATAGATCAGTTTGTACATTTTTTAGCGTGCGCAGTGACATAGCTCACGTTTTTATACACGCAAACCTTTGATAGATCCGGCCCATAGTATCGGATCGGTACCAGAATTTTGGCAGTATTGGAGATACCGGTACCACTCTACCTGCAACTGCCTTGGCAAATTGAGTTTATTTGAATAGCATATTCAGTTACAAGACTTTTCAAAATGCTAAAGTGAACAAAACATAACAGGAAAAAGAGGACAAAAGTTTTCACAGTGGCAAGGTTATCATTGTTTTCTAAAACTAACAAGATAAGAACTAGAATAAAAAAAGTCATTAAATGAAATAAAAATAAAAACCAAACCTTGCAAAAAACAAAAAAACTTAATTAAAATGTAATAAAAAAATCTAAGAGAGAATGTCCTCCGTTTTCACTGTGTCTTCATCATAATGCATTAATCAGAATCAGGTTTATTGCCAAGTAGATTTGAACTTACAAGGGATTTGACTTGGTGTAGATGGTGCAGACAATAATAGTGTGAGGTCTAGTTTCCAGGAAAGGGGTAATCCTGCTTCATGGTAAAAACCTTGAGATAACTTATTATTTTGATATAAAATATGTGCATCAAACGCAGAACACAAAACACCCAGGGAAGATGCTGTCTAAAATAATGGATGTCACTGAAACAATTCATGCACTGACATGAACTGAAAGGTCACTGGCCATGGAAGACGGGGGAAAAAACGATTAATAAAGTAAATACATTTGAACTCAATTCTTTTTCAGAGGCTTGGATTGTCTGATAAAACTTAAATGAAAGATGCTGCCCAAAATGACTCATTTCAGCCCAATGAAAACAAATGAAGCTTTGTCATCTTAGAATCTGATTCCTCTCTGAGAGGAGATGAAGACTGAAGCAGTTGAATGGAGGGTTTCATGTCTGCTGAGCAAAAAGCTTGGTGGCAACCTAGCCCTCCTCCCTGCCTCAGGCTGCAGGGCTTCACATTTAGCGGGTGATATTCAAAACAAAGTGACGTGTTCTAAGTTATGCGCCAATGCCAACAGAGGGGGGCGTGTCCAACTAGTCTGATACAAACACAATTCCGGAGTAAAGAAGGCTTTTTACCGGGGTATGTAGCAGCTGTTTAAACTTCTTTCTGTGAACACTAGTAGCACTTTGCAGGATCAGACGCGATGAGGGAGAAATTGAAATTGTTTTATCGCCAGATGCGTCTTTTTGTTCTCATACATAGATGGCTTGGCGGGTTTTATCTGCTCTGAAAACACAGCATGGTTTGGTGTGGAGTCTGCTGCGTTAGATCGGCTAGTTAACAGTCTGCTTTGGGGTGACCGGCCGAGGCGTCCCCCTGTCTGCGGCGTTTGTTTGAACGATCCGGGGGGAGGAAGGAGGGAGGGAGGGGGCAGTCCAGACATTTTAACCCTGAAGGACTCCGGTAAACAAAGAATAAACCACGTCGAAGCAGGACGGAGGGTCGGAGCTGATGGCGGCGCAGCGGCTCCTATTCCGTTAAGGGCAAATTGATCGGTTCATGTCGCCTGTGTTAGCCGCCCACCCAGGCCCCTGATCCTGCCGTCTAGCCGAGGGGGAAATGACGGCTTGGATCGTTTAGTTTAGGAGACGAACAAAGTCAGCCGACCTCCGCTGGAAGGGGCTTCTTGGTTTCAACTGTCTGTGGTGGGCTTTTTTTTTTTTTTTTTTTTTTGGTGGGGTTTTTCTCCGCAGCCCGCAATGCGTTTTTGTTACACGCTTCGCTTAAAACTTGCAAAGACAAACGTGCAAGCATTATACATAAACTGGTGTATTGTGCGCCTGCAGAGCCCCCCTGGAGCTCTGGGCTCTTCGCTCGGTGTTTGGAAGAGAAACCAATGAAGAATGAGCCTCAGACTCCTCGGTATGGAGCACAGGGAGGAATCCCGGGCTACAACTGGAGCTCCGCCTGTCGTGGGCGATGGTTTATTTAGCAAGTTCCACCTTTTGTAGGAGGGAACTTTTGATTGGGTTTAATTGTCAGCGATTGGCTCCTGAACGACAAATGGGAGGGGCCTAATGGCGCACAGGAAGAGCCAGTATGTGGAGGGGTTTTCATTGCATTCATCGGTAGGATGCAGGGAAAGATCGACTGATGGGGAAATAGGAGGGTTTGGCAACTGTGACTGGAAAAGCATTGGCCAATAAGATGCACCGAACAAACTAGGTTGGGATACAAAGACTCCTGCAAGTAAAATATGTCTAAGAGGAAAAAAAAAAGTTATTTTATTGCTCTGTCTGCAAACACTTCTGCACACAGACTTAAAGCCTCCGCAGGCCTAACTTTGAGAAAAATCGTCTTCTAGCGTGCACCTTATTATCTGTAGGGGCTTTGCTTATTAAAACACAGCAGATTTATGGAGAACATGCATCAGCATGTGCATCTGCATAAAACACTATCACACAGACAGACATTTTAGAGTTGTTTCCACACATGTTGTAAAGTTTAGTGGAAGGAAAACATTGCAGCAAAAAGAGGCACAAGAGACAACATGGTTAACCTCTGCCTCAAGATTATGAAGCATTTAAAAGTTTGGGATGTTTTTGGGCAATTCTTTGGGTGCCTGTGAAACTGACATATCCAGGAAATTAGCTGCAATGGTGGCATTCCCAGATTTAGGTTGGAGTAGATGGATACATCAGAGGTATTGCAGCTGGTGGTTGAAAGTTCTTTTGTTTTAGATATAAACTTTTTTCTGCTTCTGCAATGGGAAAAGATGTTGTTGGAGTGGGTCAGTGTTAAAGGATTTTATGGTCCAGTGTAGAGATCTACCAATGCAGGTTTTGTAAGGCTGATACATCGGTTTAATTGATCTCAGGTATGTACTGCTGAGTTTTTGGAGACAGATTATTATTATTATTTTTTTTCAAAGCACTTACTTAATTATAAAAATAAAGCAATAATAGCGAATATTACAAAAACTGCAATAAAAAGAATAAAACATTGAAGAACTCTAACAAACCATAAATTATGGATGGAATTATGCAAAAAGAGGGAGGGGCAATGCATGCGACTCACAACCTTTTTTTTTTTTATCTTTATTTGTCATTTTTGCTCAGTTATCGTTTTCTACAAAATAATAAAACAAAAACTAGGGAGCTTATTTATTGGGGTAAACTACAAGTATCAAAATGAACAGGAATAAACACTTCAAATGTTACTGTGTGGGTATTGAGTCAATACAATGAGTGTTTTATTTATTTATTTTTTAATAAATGACTGACAAAGTTTACTTTTTTTTTATGGCAGCCTAATTTCAGATTTATGGTCCACAACCCGGCACCACAACTCTCCACATGTATTAAAAAGGTGAAACAGACCTACTCAGTATTCATATTGAATGTAATGACATAAAAAAGATATCTATTTCAACATTATATTATTGAACATATATAAATAGTCTGGTTTAAAAAAATAATTTTAGATTTTTATAAAACGGTAAGTGAAGAGGTTTATCAGCTGTGCCGGTGATTACAGAAAGTTTTTAATGACATAAAAAAACAAACTGCCTCTGCTGACTTCGAGTTTAGTCTTGGAGGTGTTTACTAACTATGCCAAAAACAAAAAACATGATTGACAGCCCAACATTCAAAACGTACAATCAAGCCCCGCCTCTATCTCCGAATGAACTGACCAATCCTGTCCGTTTTCATGTGCTGACCCCGCCCACCATCTCAGCTAACCGAACGGAGATTGTTTTCCTCTCGCTGGGAGATTTTCACATTGCTGTATCTGCTTGGATTGTTTTATTTTAAGTCACACACCACCGACAAGGTGCTTTTCACGGGTGTGGTTTCTATAACCAAATGGGGCGGTGGTCGGTCCAAATAGAAAGGATTGTTATTTAATCGCCTCCAAACTTCTGCCTGTTGTTTGGGAGAGGGGTGAGTTCAGTCGTATTCATTCACTAAGCTAACACAGCAAGCTAGTTAGCTCTCGGTTTAAGAACACTAAACGGAAATATCCACATCTCAATGCATGCCACTATCTGACTGACGGACCTACAGTGTATTATCACCTTGGTACTTTTAACAGATACCGCGTAATTTAGACCGATCGCCAACGGACACCTGCATGTGTTTCCCTCCGAGTCAGAGACAATCTTCTGTTCGGGCTCCCCATGTTTACATTAGCCGTCAGCTAGCTAGCAGCTCGGTACAGCTGGCGACGGGACGCACTTCTGTGAAAGTCCTAAAAATAAACTGTACAGTACGCTTAACTGTGTCGATATTCTAAACAAGTGTTAATGTAATCCACTAGTTCAAACTTACCTGGTAGAAATTACGTGTACATTTTCCGAACTTCTTCGCCACGCTAAATGGCGGGCGTGCGGAAAGCACCGAGCTCTAAATTGATATCGGTGCTTGTGTTTACTAGGCCGTGTAAACATCGAGGGGGGGTCTATTAAACATACTATTTAAAAAAGAAACCATGGCAGCATTTAGTTCTAACAGCGCCACTAATAGTGGAGTCAGTGAGCAGCGCCACCAACCTAATGCGTTAGCTTAGCATTCCGAGGCTGCGTTGAGTTTACCACTGTTGGTAAACGGACGGCTGAGTGGAGCTGAGCTGCTGGGGGGAAAGGAGCCAGCTCTACATCCTAGCTTCGCTGTGACATATTGACTTGTTGTTGTTTTTTTTTTTTTTGTTATAGAAGCTTTATTAATATTCACGCAACTTAAGTTTTACAACAAGTTAATCATTTAGGTGGTCAGGAGTCGCTGGTGTCTATAGGAAGTTGTGAATGAGCAGGGTGCTCCCACGTTTCCACAGCACCTGTTTGTTGCGCTGACGTAGGGTTCTCGTGTTCTCATTGGCTGCAGAGGCCGCGAGCCGAACATTCAGTACATGCTGCTGTCTGAACGAGGAGATGCTCACACTGCTGCTCTACTCTCACTGAATCAGACAAAAAAAAAAAAGAAAAATTACAACTGGACAAATATCGACAGTTTCCTCTAAACGCTGGATACATTGACTTTTACAGAATATCTATTTTCAACTAATAATGAGAGAGTATTGTGGGATTTCTTTCCAGATTATTGACTTTCTTAGAAATCCATCGTTGTTTAAAGCAACATTTATGCTAGATTAGGCACAATGTTGTAAATAAGAGTAGCTTTCTCTGTTTGTACAGTAGAGGATTTTAAATACTGATGGCGGGAAAACGGAAAACTTGATGAAAATCTTGTAGATGACATAGTGATAACATTTGAAAGGTTGGCACTGCCTTGATAGTATTACCGCAATAACTAATACTTTTAATGATCTGCCATAGATCATTAAATAGATCTGCCATTGTGTTGGAGTAACGTGTTTTCTTAGTCTATATGGACAGCTATCATCTAAATGTGTTGCTTGTCAGTTGGCTTAAAGAATGAGTTCTACACTGTTCCCCCTCACCCTAGACCACATTTAAGCGGCATTAAGATATATGTTTCATTAAACATTTAATGTAAACACTAAGTGTTTACATTAAAGCATTTTTTGCTTAAAAATGTTTTTACTATAAACTTAACTGCTGTTGGTGTTTTAGTGAAAGAACAGGCCAGCTTTTAAACCTTGTCTTCAGACTAGTTAACGTTCATCTTCTCTGTCTTCCCAGGTCTCGCGGCTTTCGTAAGCATGAGTTCATAATGAAGCGGCGTCTGGAGGATCAAGACACAGTGCTTGCATCGCAGCAGCGGCGGCTCACCAGCAACCCAGAGCCTTTTCAGCATCGTATCCTGGCCCCCGCCACCGCTGCTCCGGCTGTGTATGAAGCCGTGACCGACAACATGCAGCCCACTGCTGGTGTCCAATACTCAGTCCCCCAGGGGTACCAGGTAAAGTCAGCATATTGCGCTCCTTTCACATTTTTGTCCTGATACCTTTTTTAAGTACATTTTTGAGTTAATTTCCTGCAAGGCTTTGGTTGAAAATAAAAATATGCTTTGATCCAAACCATTCCACGGTGTTGGAAGATGGACCTTCTGCCAAGTTTAAAGGAATTCTCAACCGTAAAAAGATTTCCTACATAATTTTGATGTATTTTCGTAGGAGAAAAAACATGCCCTCAATGATGCTACACCACCATTTGTCCTAATACAGATGGCACATTCCCTACTTGTTGTTTTTGCCCTTCATTTGGTGTTTTGAGTACATTCCAATGCCAAGAAAAAAAAGGTCTGGGTGATTGCTTTGAACCCCTCTATAACTTCCTACCTAACCTTTCTGGTCATATTCTTTGTTAACATTTGTGCTCTATTAAACTCCTGAGGCCTTCACAGAGCTGCTGGGTTTAAGCTGTGGATCTTTTTAATTCTTCCTACTTTCCAGTTCAAGGTTGTATTGTGTGGGTCTGTGGTATTTTCCCCAGTGAAACAGAGCCATTACATTAACGAGTGTGATGGTAGAATGACTGTGGCCCCGTCCACACGAAGACGAACCCTGGCCTAAACGCACAAATTTTTCACCAAACCAGCCTCTCATCCACACGAAGCCGGCGTTTCAGGGGTCTGTAAACGATCATTTTTTTATTCACCCTTCAGAGTGGGAAGATTCTGAAACGCCGTTTTCGCGTTTCCATGTTTACACCCTAACCGCATTTTTTTTTTTTACACGCATGCGTCATAGCGTCGCCTCTAAACACGCAAGCGCGACACATCACAATAACAATGGCGCCGTTGCTGCTAATGCTACTCACCCTGCTGTCGGGCTGGTCGGGCTTACAACAGAATCTTCTTCTTCTGGAATATCTCCATGAAGAACAGAGCAATATCGACCACATAGTTCAGCACCTGAATTTGACTTAACCACGAAAATAGACCCGCAGGGCAACCATGTATAAATATTAGTGCGCATGCCCTACATTTCGTCGCTTATTTTTGCTTTGGCACCACAGCGCCACTTACAGGCCTGGCATACATTTTGCAGCGTTTTCATGCATTCGTGTGGACGCTCACATTTATTTTACGTCTCCGTCTTTACGGCAAACGTTTTGGAAAATATCAGCGTTTCGTGTTCGTTTTGACTTCGTGTGGACGGGGCCTGTGACAGACGCCTGTCCCCTCCTAGGTACCCACCGTGGCCCAGAACAGTGGCGGACACGGGCATGTTTCTGGTCCGACAGTCCACTCTGGGCCCCTTCATCACAGCTCCGCCGTTCAGTCCCACGGGCCCTCTGTGATGTCAGGGCATGGTCACACAACGGCCCCTCCATCCTCCGCACAGGGTCACCAGCAGTTTCAGAGACTAAAGGTGAGCTTCTGACTGCTAGACTTTTTTTATGAATTTATTTTAGAAATTGTTGCAGGTACCATCCTGTTTGTGTTCTTACTTTAGGTGGAAGATGCTTTATCGTACTTGGATCAGGTGAAGCTACAGTTTGGGAACCAGCCTCAGGTCTACAACGACTTTTTAGATATAATGAAAGAATTCAAGTCTCAAAGGTGAAGTTTAAGTAGAACTTGTGGATCAGGAAACCGTGGAAATGTCAACTCCTCACTATTGTGTTTCATTTAAACATTGTCTCTGTGTGTTTATCAGCATCGATACTCCGGGGGTCATAAGCAGGGTGTCGCAGCTTTTCAAAGGTCACCCAGACCTCATTATGGGTTTCAACACTTTTCTCCCCCCCGGCTACAAGATCGAGGTTCAGACCAATGACCTGGTCAACGTGACAACGCCGGGTCAGATCCACCACATCACCCCACACGGCATTTCAGTCCAGAACATCCCCATAACGGGAGCGCCCACCCAGCATCTTCCCCAGCTGCCATCCGCTGCTGCCACCACCGCTCCGCCTCACCTGACGCAGCCAACCCCCGCCAAGTTGAGTAAGGTTAGTCGAGAGGATCTCTGAGGGGAGGAGGTGGAGATTTTTCCATGCATCTGACGCTTGTTTTTGTTATTTTGATGCTGAAGCCTCCGCAGCTGCAGGTGCTGACACAGAGTGGCCAGACCAACCCATCCATCCCCGCCTACGCCTCACCCCGATCTCCACCCCTTCAGCTTCACCCGCCCCTCTGCGGTACCCCTGCTGGCCCACCCATGCAGAACAATCAGCCGGTGGAGTTCAACCATGCCATCAACTACGTCAACAAGATCAAGAACCGCTTCCAGGGCCAGCCAGACATCTACAAAGCCTTTCTGGAGATTCTCCACACATACCAGGTCAGGCTGCCTAAAGCAAGAACAGTCAGAGGACCCTTAGTGTTTGCTGCATGCAGCCATTCTGCTAAATTTCTTATTTTTCTACACATCATAGAAGGAGCAGCGTAACGCTAAAGAGGCTGGAGGGAACTATACGCCGGCTCTGACGGAGCAGGAGGTCTACGCTCAAGTGGCAAGACTCTTCAAGAACCAAGAGGACCTGCTGTCAGAGTTCGGACAGTTTCTCCCTGATGCCAACAGTTCAGCTGTAAGATTATGTGACAACAGCACAACACGTATAAATTCCTCTGATAGAAGAACAGTTTTTTGTTTTGTTTGTGTTTTTCCAACTTTCTCCTGGAACGTTCTGCTGTTTTTCTCGGTCTTAGTGCTGTTGTTGGTTCATAGATGTTCTCTAGAAAATCTCTGAAGCGTTCACAGAAAAAACAGGTTTATTTTGAGGTATTTATCAAAGTTGGAATGGAGCTCATTTAGTAGTAGCAGAGAAATGGAGACCGTGTACAGAGCATCATTGTTAAGGAGAAGGGGATAAACTTTGTGTTCAAATGAAATCTCAAATAAAAGTATAGATTTTAATGTGAGGAAATGTGACCGGGTTCAAAAGGAAAGATGGTAATGAGTTACACTTGAAAGATGTCAGTTTCTTAAACATTGTTGTTTTTTTCTTAGATGCTGAGTAAGACCAATGCAGAAAAGGCAGAATCTGTGAAGAACGACCACGGCCTCACCACCAAAAAGATGCAGCTCAACAACAAACAGAGACCCAATCAGAATGGCTGTCAGATCCGGCGCCACCCCACTCCAGGGTCAACACCACCCATCAAGGTTTGCACAGACACACACATCGCTGAAGCTCCTGTCGAGCGTTGTTCTCACCTCCCCTGCTAACGGTCCTCTATGTCACGCTACAGAAGAAGCCAAAGTTACTGAATCTGAAGGACTCTCCAACGGCAGACCCCAGCAAGCATGGAGGCGGCATGGAGTCTATGTTCTTTGAGAAGGTGGCTTAACCTTATGTCTGTCTGTCTAAAATATTTAAATAGTTGTCAATTTTATTTTGTGTTCTGTATGTTTCTGCACGTTTGACTTGTTCTAATCTCCTATGTCATTTCAGGTGCGGAAAGCTCTAAGGAGCACTGAGGCTTACGACAACTTCCTGCGCTGCCTGGTCATCTTTAACCAGGAGGTGATCTCCAGGGCTGAGCTGGTGCAGCTGGTGCTGCCGTTTTTGGGGTGCGTTACTCTGTCACCGGTTGGCCTGGGATCCTAAAGTTGTTACTCAGCCCGCATCATGACTGAGCCGGTTATTTCTCATTTACAGGAAATTTCCCGAGCTATTCAACTGGTTCAAAAACTTCCTGGGCTATCGTGAAATGTCGCACATGGAGACATACCCAAAAGAACGGGCCACGGAGGGCATCGCCATGGAGATTGACTATGCTTCCTGCAAGAGGCTGGGCTCCAGCTATAGAGCTCTGCCTAAAAGTTACCAGCAGCCCAAATGCACCGGCAGAACGCCGCTTTGTAAAGAGGTGAGCCAGTTATGCGGGAAGGCATTAATCAGAAGATGAGAACAATTACTGATCCCTGCTCAGAGGTTTTAAGCTCTCTTTAGCATCAAATGCTAGTGAAAATTGAGATCATGGTTACTGGCATGAAGAGGATGGAGTGTCTCCTGGTGTTACTGGGAAGTGTACCTAAGGCTTTGAAGGTAGATGTAATTAAACCTTTACTTAAGAAACCATCTCTTGTCCATAATTACCCACTCAATTATAGACCTATATCCAATCTTCCTTTCTTATCTAAAATTCTTGAGAAAGTAGTTGCCAAACAAGTGTGCAATCGCTTACACATAATGAAGTTTTTGAAGGGTTGGTTTCAATCTTGTCTTAGAGCTCATCATAGCACTGAAACAGCTCTGGTGAAAGTCACTAATGATATTCTCATGGCCTCAGATAATAGACTTGTATCTCTACTTGTCCTTTTAAATCTGTACTGCATTTGATACATTTAATAGGAATTAAGGGAACTGCACTGGGCTGGTTTAAATAAAAAAATTCAGACAGATTTCAGTTTGTTGACGTTAAAGGAGTCATAGAATGCAATGGGCTGCTGACCGGACCGGAGTCTTTGCTCGGCAACTTCGCTCGTTGTAAACCAACCAATCAGCGCATAGCTCTTCTAAATATTCATGAGCATACCATAAAAGGAAGAAAACCTGTCGTTTCATTCTAGGGCTTTTAACCAGGCTTGCATTAGGGCTCATAGAACGTGACATTTTCAGCCAAAGCAATGTTACACACCCTATTCAGAGACCTTAAGGACCAGCAACCTATAAAAATCCTTCCTCGTGCTCCAGAGTTACCTGTGTAGTACCACAGGGATCAGTGCTAGGACCAATTCTCTTTACTTTATACATGCTTCCAATCAGTAAAATTATTAGACATCATGGGATATAAGCTATATCTGTTTATAAATCCAGATGAAGCTAACCCATTACATAAATTACAGGCATGTCTGAAGACATAAAAACCTGGATGGACCAGAGTCTTTAAAAAATAAGCTGATTAGTCAGTCACTTCATGTGGATGGGATTTAACTGATCTCTGATAATCAAATAAAAACATTGGTGTTATTTTTTATCAGGACCTGTCATTCAAATCCCATGTTAAAGAGGTTTCAGGAATTTCCTACTTTGATCTCCATATTGCAAAAATTATGAATATCTTGTCCAGGGTTGATGCTGTGAAACTAGTCCTGAGAATCTGCATTAGCATAGTCCATGCATTTGTTACTTCAAGGCTGGACTATTGTAATTCTTTACTATTAGGAAGTCCACAAACTGTAGTTAAAAGCCTTCAGCTGATCCAAAATGCTGCAGCCAGAGTTCTGATGAAAATGAAAAAGAGAGATCATATCTCTCCTATCCTGGCTTCTCTTCATTGGTTTCCTGTAGGGCTGCAACTAACGATTATTTTAAAAATCGATGAATCGGCAGATTATTTTTTCGATTAATCGATGAATCGGACAAAAAATATTTTTTATATTAACCTCTTTATTTCAAAATAAACATTTTAGACAGAACAAACAAGCACACAAGTAAAGGTTGCTCATTAACTGTACTGGTGCAGTATGAAAAATAAATGTTTGTGTTAAAACTACGCAAACTTACATGAGAAATGTAGCTGTACATCCACAAAATATAGGGTACTTTGTTTCATAAAGTGCAAAAAAAGACATTTTTGTTTTTAAAAGCCCCTAAGGGGTTCAAACAATAGGCCCCCCCATTTCAACAAATGAGGTTTTTTTAGACTAGAAGAGTTCTGCCTTTTAAGACAGGAAAGTATAGCAGTTAAAGTTGCTACTTGAGAAAATACTGAACCATAGAGATAAAAATAGCCCTGTGATTCAAATTATAAATTGTATTTGGAATAAAAATGAGAGAAGTAGGGGTGCTAAAAAAACACATCCTCCTAAGACAGATATTTACATGGGAATGTGGCATATAATTAATTGACATATTACTGATCTTGCTGGATTTTATTCTGCTTTACTTCCATAAATTGTAGGATCTTCTTTACTTTATCTTTGCCAGAAGATTTAAACTTTAAAAGCCTTGCCTTCATAATTTACAAGTTAAATTCTTTATAAAGTAAATATAACGCTGCTTAAGCTAATTCAAATTAAATTAAAAGTAAAATAAGAAGCCAACCTTATCACTGTCTGTAACCTACTAACACGGTAAGGAAAGCATCAGATGAGCTACCTGAGAAACTAACGTTACGTTTCCCCACTTAAAAAACAAACAAACATGGTAGTTCCGTGCCATGTTAATTTGTTTTGACAAAAGTTGCATGTTACAACTTTTTTCACTTTACAAAGCGCAGGGTATTTTAATTATTGTGATCAATTTGCGCCGTCAATCCCGGCGCTTGCACGCTTCATTTGCAGTCTGGACGCTGAGGGTAAAAATCCTGCTGCTCTGACTGCAGCGCTGAGAGGGACTCCTGCGGGAGAACGGGGTTGGGATGGGGGAGGCGCCCCACGGCACAGTAGGAACGATACATGCTTTCACATAAGAGTCTCCAAAAGCCGACAGTGACACCGTAAAAAGTCGCCAGATTTATCGCTAGTCGCTTTTTTGAAAAATAGTAGCTGGAGGGGTCTGACAAGTCGCTGAGTTGGCAACACTGCACCTGCGGCGCTGACTCTCTCTGCCATATTTTTTTTCTTCCCCCGTTTCAGTCAAATGGATGTGATGACGGCGGCGGATGACACATTAATCGCGCGACACAACTAATCGATGATTAAATTCGTTGCCAACGCTTTTAAAAGTCGATTTTTATCGATTTTATCGATTCGTTGTTGCAGCCCTAGTTTCCTGTTAAATCCAGAATAGAATTTAAAATCCTTCTTCTCACATATATTTATCTCAATGTCCATCTGATTTTTTTTCGCTATGCAGGATTACAGTATTCCGGGCCCAGGCCGGATCTTCGGCTCAGAGCAATTGTTCCTGGGCAAAAAAATTCACTCAAATATAAATTGACGCTAAATAAATTTTAAAAACACAATTGAAATCCCTCTTAGGTTTTTCAGCCAATAGTAGCAAAGAAGCGCTCTGAAACTAACATTGTTAGCCAATCAGAAGAAGAAAGAGGTGGGTCTCAATAAATCGTGTACCACCTCCTCTCGTTTCTTGCTTGAAGTGGACAGATTGCGGTACATTGTTTAACTTTTACGGCCCCATTCAAAGGAGAGACGTGTAAAAAAATATATATATATACAAATGAAACTTTATGTTTGGAGAGAGGGACGATAGAGAAAACTGAATTGTATGGAGTGGGCACAATGCCGTTCATGAATTCCGAGGGAAGATGTAACGACCATAAATAAAGTCTCAAACATAAATGGCGCTGGGCATGGCTGGAGGAGACAGGGCGAGATGGCGAGCCATTTAGCAGCTGGAGCAGGAAGTTAAGTGAACCAGGCACTTCTGCACGCTGTGCTCCAGGAACGCTTAGCAGCAAAACTAGGTATCCAAAGAAATGTGGTTCATGCAAGTGGCAGATATAGATGCACTTTTTGCCATCTCCTGGCCGTTTTTGGTATTGGATTTTCAAAAGTCAAACTTAGTCTTCAGTCATTCATGCAATCTGTGATCCCACGCCCCCACACCCTCCTGGCATATATATATATATATATATATACTTTTTCAACAATGTTTATTTGAAGCCTGGTGCCTCTTTTGTCATGACATGGAATATGGTTGATTTATTCTTATTGGATATCAGCTGATACACTCAGCACATGGATCGATGCATCTCTAGTTTGTACCGTCGAAACATGTTACTTTCTCCCTCCTCCGTCTTTCTGATTGTTTTTCTAGTTTGATTCTGTAGGAAATGCTTATTTAGTTCAAACACAGGGGAAGTATTTATTATTATGGTTGGGCAAATGTAATTCATTGACTTAAATACTCATAGGGGCCTGACTGTTGACATTATTAGACGTTTTCTCTCCTCATCACTGAGTTTCCTAAATTCTGCCTCCAGGTCCTGAACGACACCTGGGTCTCCTTTCCCTCGTGGTCCGAGGACTCCACTTTCGTCAGCTCCAAGAAGACGCAGTATGAGGAGCACATCTACAGGTGTGAGGACGAACGCTTCGAGGTGAGCTGGAGTTTTCTCCACGCTGGGTTATGTTTGTAATAAATGGACGGACATTAGAGGGTTTTTGTCATACCACAGCTTGATGTGGTGTTGGAGACCAACCTGGCCACCATCAGAGTGCTGGAGACGGTGCAGCGGAAGCTGTCCCGCATGTCCGCGGAGGAGCAGGCTAAGTTTCGGCTGGACAACGCACTGGGCGGTTCCTCTGAGGTGATTCACCGCAAGGCGATCCAGAGGATATATGGAGACAAAGCTCCTGACATCCTGGACGGCCTGAAGAAGAACCCCGCTGTTTCTGTTCCCATTGTGCTGAAAAGGTACAATACGTCCTATTTTATCCACTTTTGTCCCGTTTAGCTTATTTTCTGGCTCCTTTGGTGTAACACGTCTTAATCTGAGGGGCCACTCTGAATCCAGCCTCTCTTTACAAACAGGTTAAAGATGAAGGAGGAGGAATGGCGGGAAGCCCAGCGAGGCTTTAACAAGATCTGGAGGGAGCAGAACGAGAAGTATTACCTCAAATCCCTGGACCATCAAGGCATCAACTTCAAACAAAATGACACCAAAGTGATTCGATCAAAGTCTTTGCTGAATGAAATTGAAAGCATCTATGATGAGGTGGAGATTTTCTCCTGCAAATATTTAGTTACACTTTTACACAAAACAATCAGTCTGTAAAGCTCATTTTTACTTACAGAGGCAGGAGCAGGCGTCGGAGGAGAACACCGCCGCTCCTATGGGGCCCCACCTCACTTTAGCTTACGAAGACAGCCAGATCCTGGAGGACGCGGCGGCGCTCATCATCCACCATGTGAAGCGGCAGACCAGCATTCATAAGGAGGACAAGTACAAGATCAAGCAGATCATCTACCACTTCATCCCTGACATGCTGTTCGCACAGCGCGGCGAGCTGTCGGACTTGGAGGAGGAGGAGGAAGAAGAAGATGTGGGGCTGGAGGAGGGGTCCAACGGGGTCCCAGGCACCGGGAGCCCCACCAAGTCCAAGCTGCTGTTCTGCAACACAGCGGCTCAGAAGCTGCGCTCCTGCGAAGATGCCTACAACCTCTTCTTCGTCAACAACAACTGGTACATCTTCCTGCGCCTCCACCAGACGCTGTGCTCGCGGCTGCTCAGGCTGTATGAGCAGGCGGAGCGGCAGATGGAGGAGGACGTCAGGGAGCGGGACTGGGAGAGGGAGGTTCTGGGGCTGAAGAAGGAGAAGAACGATAATCCTGCCATCCAGCTCAGACTCAAGGAGCCCAGTGAGTAAACCCATAATTTCATCTAATATTGGCTGGATTTTCACCCTGTAGCGGGGTTCGGTTATTGCAGGGTTTGGTTCGTGCGGGGTTCGGTTCGTGCGGGGTTCGGTTCGTGCAGGGTTCGGTTCGTGCAGGGTTCGGTTCGTGCGGGGTTAGGTTCGTGCGGGGTTTCCTTAAAATTTGATGACCTATGACCAGACTGAGCTGTCTTTAGGCACACCTGTTCTTACCTACGAACAGAAAATCTGAAATCCAGTTGAAGGTACCATGTCCGATTGCTACCAGGTCACCTTATAGCACATTTCATCAATAGAGTTGTCATAAAAAGAAGAAGCATTTCCATAACAGTTTGAAATTTCCGCCTTCCTTTGTCATCTGGTGGCCGACTGCATCTTGTAGATGCGTTTCAGTGTCTGGTTCTGTGTTCTACGGTGTTTACCCACAGGTGAGTCCCAGTGTTGGGTCCAACCAAATTAGACCCCTGGTTTCCTCCTTACTTCCTGGTTAATGAGTAGCTCCAGTCATAGTGGATTAGATATTGATTGATCTGGTGTTTTATTTGTTTTGGTTTGAAAGGGTTAAATTCTGTATCACTGTAAAATCAGAGTCAGCATTTTTTTCTTTAAACAAAAAAAGACTGAGCCTGGTTCTGATAGAGGTTTATTGCTGTTAATGGGGAGTTTTTCCTCTCCACATTCGCTTCAAGTATGCTTAGTGTGAGGGATTGCCTTTTGAGTCAATATGTTGCTACAATCAACTGGTTTTCCTTAGATAGAAAATGCACTTTGTATCAATTTGACTGTATGATCTGGTTGAATTTAAAGTGCCTTGAGATGACCTGTTGTGAATTGGTGCTATAGAAATAAAGTGAATGAAATTGAATTAAAGCCCTTTTCTTCTGAAATTAGCGGGTCTTTCAAACCTGGGTCAACCCGCTAACAATCAGCATTTGGCTCCATGCTCATTGGCAAAAAGTGTCGTTCTGACCACCCCTGCTGGCAAGCTGCATGGCTTCTGCCCCCCCACCACTGCATCTCTGGTGACATCATCATGCTGGGTTAGCGCTGATGATGTCAACTGTTCGACAGAAATCAGGAAAGTAAATAGTGGAGAGCAACATGGAAGGGAGCCAGGGTGTAGAAAGTCCAATTCGATTTCAAATCGGTTTATATATAAATCGCCAATTCACAACCAAATGGGAACATACCAGATGAAGCTACTATGAGGAATAAGCAGAGACAGCATAACGTTAGAGATGGAACAAACAAATATGCAGAATGTGAAAATAGTGATAGGACGATTAAAAGGGCCCTATGGCAGCATATCTATAAACTCTGCTTTATGGCTTTGATATTTTCAGTTTGAATCTCTCCTTTTGTTTGGGTTAGATCATATTTGATGGGAGCTATGTTGTGACGTCCGTACATTGAGCTCAGTGGTATCACATAAATGAACAGGCCAATCTGGTTCTGCTGTTCCCACTGAATGCAGATCCGAGCAGTTTGAAGGCGATTTTAATGTGGGCCAATGAGCTGTACCCACTGCCACTAAAAAGCCCATTGTTTCCAGATTTAAAAAGGTTTTTCAGCCAGTGGGAAAGATGTTTAAAGAAGGCTGTCTTCATGGTGAACGTTAAGATGCTCACTGTTTCTGTTCTCTAGTGGACATCGAGGTGGAGGATTACTATTCAGCCTTCCTGGAGATGGTTCGGAACTTGCTGGACGGAAACATGGAAGCCTCTCAGTACGAAGACTCTCTGAGGGAGATGTTCACCATCCACGCTTACATCGCATTCACCATGGACAAGCTGATCCAGAGCATAGTTCGGCAGGTAAGTTCGCCTCCTCCCAAAACGTGTTGCATGTGAGTTTCTGGTGCTGGAACAGTCGTTCACTCATTCACACTCCCTCTGTAGCTGCAGCACCTAGTGAGCGACGAAATCTGCGTCCAGGTAACAGACCTCTATCTTACGGAGACTGGGAACGGAGCCACGTGGGGGGCCACAACTGCACAGTCGTCAAAAAACTCGGCTGAGGTGATCTACCAGAGAAAAGCAGAGCAGCTCATGTCTGAAGAGAACTGCTTCAAGGTTTGATTTCCTGGCCAGAGCTTCAGCTTCCATGAATTTAGTGGAATAAAGCACCATCTTGACATCCCCCCCCCCCCCCCCCCCCCCTTTTTTTTTTGTCTCAGGTGATGTTTGTGAAAAATAGAGGGCAAGTGCAGCTCACGGTGGAGCTGCTGGACACGGAGGAAGAGAACTCTGACGAGCCCATGGAGGCCGAGGTGAGAAGCTGCTCTTTGATTGGTTTGAAAACATTTCTTAAAAATACACAAATAATACTACGTTTCCTGAAACACTGCAGATAACCTGAAGGATCAATCAGCAACTTGTTTATATGCAGGGTTTATAAAGACGTGTCTTATTAATGGCTTTAGTGTCTCAGGCTTCTAACACAACCTCCAGTATGGCGACATTAACTGATAACACATGCAATAGGGTTAGGTAGGCTGCAGTTACAGCCAAACCACAAAATATTGTGATGGGATTTAAAGTCCAAATCCCCGCACCTCACCATCCCCACCCCTATGTTGATCTATCAGTCTGCAATTCGTCTACCCCACCACCCATCTGTCCAAAGTTTTATGTTCATATTAATACCAAACATTACTATTGCCTTCTAAGGCCTCATCTTTTTCCATCTAAAATAGGCCCCTAAGTGATGAAAACCTCTGGAAAAATGTACCAGTACAGCTGTGCAGGGATTAAAGTATTCCGGCCCCAGGCCGGATTTTCAGCTCGTAGCGATCACCTGAAAATAAACGGAAGGTAAATAAATAATAAAAAAAAGACAATCGAAATTCCCCTTGCGTTTGTCAGCCAATGATAGCGAAGAATCGCTCTGAAACCAGCAGTATCAGAAGAAGAAGGGGGCGGGTCTTATGAAAGCGTTTACCACCTCCTCTCGTTTCTCGTTCAAGTCGCCAGATAGATTGTGGTACAGTGCTACACGTAGGTTCTACACGGAAAGTCACCTTGCGCCGTTTAGAGCTCCGTTCAATGGAGCGCGTGTTAAACATAAATAAATGAAACTGTGTTTAGAGAGAAGGACTATGGAGAGAACAGAATTGCATGCAGAGGGCACAATGCAGTTGATGAGTTCAGGCACGCTGTGCTCCAGGAAGCTTATTTACGCATCCGGCGGCAAAAAGGTGCTACGCAAACATGAATTAGACCCTGGTCCAAACTGCAGTTCGTGCGGCTGCGCACATTAGACGTTTGTCTGGGGCTACGGCAACAGCTGAACCAGCGTCAATAACTGACCATATGTGAGTTAAAAATAAGGGTTTGTACTTTCCTTGCCTAACACGACCTCTCATTCACGCTAGATATAGATGTGCTTTTGCAATCTTTTGGCCGTTTTTGGTATTGGATTTTCCAAAAGTCAAATTTAGTCCTCAATCATTCACAATACACCTCAAGTTCCAAAAACTAATTTCAGGGAGATGCTTATTGAACCGTCCCCCCCACACCCTCCTGGCATGGCTTGAAAATACACACACACACACACCCAGGTGTTCTGGCTAAAAAAGCTAAAAAGTTCTGGCTCAGGATTTAATTGTTGCTTTAATCCATGGATCTGGGATCTCCTGCATCGCTGGATTTCATGGATGTTCTGGGTTGTATGTTTGCAGCGTTGGTCCGACTACGTTGGACGCTACCTCAACCCAGATTCCACCACCCCTGAGCTGAGGGAGCATCTGGCCCAGAAGCCTGTGTTTCTTCCACGGTACACTCTTTTCTTTCTCGCTCTAAGAGTCAAAGGCAAGTTTTCTGAGTTTGACTAATTTCTCCTGAGACCTTCCACTGAATCCATCTCTAACCCTGCTAGGAACCTGAGGCGGATCAGGAAGTACCAGAAGGGCCGGGAGCAGATGGACAAGGAGGCCTGTGAGGGGGGGAAGAAATCCATGGAGAAGGAAAAGATGGAGTGCATGTTCAAACTCAACTCCTACAAAATGGTCTACGTCTTTAAGTCTGAGGACTACATGTACCGCCGCACCGCCCTGATGAGGGCTCACCAGGTAATTCACCCAAACTCGATTCCAGGTGAACCGTCTCACTCACCCGGCAAATCCTTACTTTTCCCTTGTTTACCAAAATCCCTCTGGTTTTTCCCCACAGTCGCATGAGAGGGTGAGCACCAGGCTGCACAAGCGCTTCCAGGCCTGGGTGGACGCCTGGGTCAAAGAGCACGTCAACCGCGAAATGAGTGCAGAGACCGCCAAGTGGCTGATGGGGGAAGGGCGTGACGGCCTGCTGCCCTGCACCACAACGTGCCACCCAGAAGTCCTCCACTTCAGGAACATCAACAAATATCGCGTGGAATACGCCGTAGCTGACAGAAATGCGGGGAGGGAAGAAAAGTAGGAGACCGGTGGACTCAAGATGGGGTGGGAGGTTTGGACACTGTTAGAATTAGGGATAGGGCTAAATATTGGGATTTATTTTTATTTTTTAAGGCCAACATGGGAGCTAGAGTGATAGTCTCTCACTCGTGTTGCATCCAGGGCGGTAGGGCCACAGATTTAGTTTTTGTTTGTTTTACCAGCGTTTTTAGCTGGGACCATTTTTTTTTAACAGGGCCTTTGGTGCCAAAAACTGCGAGCACTCATGTTCTGGTCGCAGACCTGTGCTCTTACCAGCACTCAGACCCACGGCACAAACTTTCTTGAGCCGGTTCCTACAGGCAGCAGAAACGGCGAGTAGTGCTTCATGGACTTTTATCAGAACCGAGCTTCGTTTTAGCTCGCTGTTCCTACTGAGGTGTTATTTATGGGGGAAAAAATGACCCAAATGGACAAGTGCACTTATTCAGGAAAAGGAAAATAGGTTCTGGTTCCAACATTCCTGCATTCTAAAGAAAAAATCCTCACGAGGCAGTTACATTTCTTTCCCAAACACATGGCAGCATTATTACAGACTGTGCCTGAGCCTCTGGGTGGTGCTGTTGGGTTACTGTAGGAAAGCACTGTTGCATTTAATGTAAAAAAGAAAAGACTTCACAACACTGCTTGTTCTCAGACTGTAAAGTTGTATAGCTTGTGAATGTCAGGTCCTGTATTCCAGTGAGTGTGTATTCCAGTGTGTATATATTATATATAGCTCTATTAACACACAGGATCCTGTCCGCCCTGGAAGGCAACCTTTTAAAGACACACTCTGCCATCAAACACAGGCTCCACCCGTTCTGGTAGGACTGAAATCATCCTGATCATCTTGTAAATACTCTGTAAATAGTCTCAGACTTTTTATGACAGTTCCATGTTGTTGTGCTAGTATTTCCAAGCTTATTATTGACTTTAGTTATTAACGGCTAAAGTTAGGATGTAAATGACAAAGACAAATACAAAGCCCATTTATCACCATTTTTACCAAAGGGAGTTCATAATTAAACACTTCTTTGTTTGGACTATTTTTTTTTTTGCCCCCTTTTACGTTTCTTTTATGTCTTTGGTTTTTAATTTCTATCGTAGGAACATTTGGTGGGGAGATGGACGGAGAAACACATCCAAATCTTTGATATGTTTGATTTATTTTGTTTTCCTTTTATAGTGAAATAGGTCTCACTGATAGTGAGACCTATTTCAGAGCTCAGAAGAACAGACCCCTGGCAAACTTGCTTCTCCCTGGGTTGTTTTCTGCAACCTGCACCATATTTTTGATAATGTAAGAAGTCACATGAGCATGTCTTTAGTCCCTTTATTTAGACCTTATTTAAAGTAATAATAAAAAAAATGATATTTGTAGCCTAAGGAGCCATTTGTGGAGTTTTTATTTTTATGTGGATCTTTTTATGGAAATTTTTCAGCTAGAACTAACAGGAAGGGTAATAGAGAGGCCATTTTCCATGTGTCATGCACTATTTTATCACAAGAGTCGCACTAATTGTGCTTTTCTTGCCCGATTATTAGTTACAGATTGTTTTTATATGTTACTAATATTTTCAAAACTCTTTGTTTTTAAAGCATTTTTTATATAGAACATTTGATATTAAAATCTACATTAAAAGATGTTTCTTCAAGTAAATTTTTTTTCTTTCTTTTAAGAAATGCTTTTCAGAGCTAAATTAAACGGAAGCTAACTGGTGATGGGTTTAGAAATCTGCTGTTGTACCTTCATGCCAATTGAAGTCCTGATGCTGCCCGAACTGCACTCCACTGAATGGATTTCTGAAAACAAATGTGGCTCCTCCATCCAGCCTGAGTAAACTCATCATTTTAAACCATATCCAAACGAGACAGGGTTAATTAATTTTTTTTTTTTTTTATACAAGCTCACTTTATATTTGGTGAACCCACTGTTTATATTTGGGTGTCAAGCTTTTATACATTCAGTAGTAAATATTGTCACTGGAGGTACTGGGTTAGTTCAGTTCGGTGGTGGTATTCAGTGGTGATATTTATGGGCTAAATCGAAGGATGTTCATGTTTGAAAACCCTCACCAGTAGGATTCAATTCAGTTTATTTCTATAGCACCAATTCACAACACGTCATCTCAAGGCACTTTCCAGTTCACCAGATCATCCTGTCAGATTGATTCAAAGTTTTCTATCTAAGGAAAACCAGTTGATTGCATTGACTCAAATACAATCCCTCACACTAAGCATGCTTGTAGTGACAGTGGAGAGGAAAAACTCCCTTTTAACAGGAAGAAACCTCCAGCAGAACCAGGCTCAGTGTGAGCGGCCATCTGCTGAGGCCGACTGGGGTTCAAGGAGTTCATAGGTTATATGTGGATTTGGAAAAGTGCTTCTGCCTGGATTTCTTTTTCTCACATTAATTTGCTTCAATTAAGTAACTACAGTATTTTAAAATAACAGACTTTGCAAAAAAACTACATTTTGGTCTTTCATTTTACATCATTTTAAATACTAAATCTATGTTATCAGCTACTCAGTACTGAGTAACCTTTTTACCAAATACCGTTTCCTCTCCATTTTATCTTAGTTCAAATGCAATGATATAGTTTTGCTTACCTTAGCATAGTTTTTGGTTAATCTACCCACATCTGGAATCTAGTCTGTCTACAACCTCTAAAACGACTCTCAGGCTAACTATGCTAAATGCTACTTTAATGCAATGGCTAGTTTAAAATTTAAACACCAGTACACACTACCCATAAAGTTTGCTCAAACACAGTGTGACATCACCTTTGCTACTAATCTAATAGTTATAAATGAACCCTGAGAACAGTGAATTAAGAATAAAAGAAGAATACATGCATGAAATGAATGAATACAATAAAAATCATCCATTTTTTTCCACTTTATCTGGGGCTGGTTTGTAGAGACAGCAGACTAAGCAGATATACCCAGACTTCCTGATCCACACACACCTTATCCAGCTGCTCTGGGGGACCCCAAGGCAACACCAGGCCAGCTCAAGACACATAGTCGCTCCAGCGTTTCCTGGTCCTCCTCCCAATAGGACATACGGAACACCTCCCAAGTGTGGCGACTAAGAGGCCTCTGGAACAAATCCCCAAGGCGTCTCAACTCCTTTCGACGTGGAGAAGCAACAACCCTACTCCGAGCTCCCCCTGTGTAACTGAGCTCTTAAACTGATCTCGAAGGGTGCGCCAAGCCACCCTACGAAGGAAACTAATTTCTGCCTCTTGCATTCACAATCTTTTCCTTTCGGTCATTACTCAGATCTCATGACCATAGGTGAGGGTGTGAACGTAGATTAATCGGTAAATCAAGAGCTTTGGCCTCATATTTGGTGGTGCAGATCATCATCCCAGCCGCTTCAGACTTGGCTGCAAACCACACCAGTGTATGCCGAAGGTCTTGGTTTGATGAGGCCAACATGAAGACATCATCTGCAAACAGCAGAGATGATATCCTCCGGTTCCCGAACCGGACACCCTCCAGTCCCTGGCTGTGCCTATAAATTGAACAGAACCAGTAACAAAGGGCAGTCCTGGCAGAGACCAACATGCACTGGGAACAGGTCTGACTTACTGCCAGCTATGGGACCACGCTCCTGCTGTGGTCATTCAGAGAACAGAGATTAGATGACACAACTACAAAGTCAATCATTGACCTCAGGCCTCCGTGTACGTGGCACAAGGTTGTCCTGGTGCCACGTACACTTATGGACATCCTGTGATTAGTTCAAAATTTTAATTTACAGAACACCGCTTGAGTTCAGATGAGGGGGGCTGTTCCTACTGATCACCCATGTCCAGGTCTTACCTGCACATGTAGGCATTGAAGTCCTCCAGTAGAATAATGGAGACCCCAGCTGGAGTACCATCTAGTAGCCCTCCCAAGTACTAAAAGAAGGCCAGGTACTCTGGACCAATGTGGGCCCATAGGCCGAGACAACTGTGAGAGACCTGTCCCCAACCAGAAGGGACGTGACCCTCTAATTCACAGGGGTGTACTCCAACACATGATTACGCAGATTGTGGGGCAATGAGCAAGGCTACCCCAGCCCACCGCCTTTTCCCATGGGCAATGCCAGAGAATTAGAGTTCAGCCTCTCTCAAGGAGATGGGATTAGGGTTCCAAGCTGTACGTAGAGGTGAGCCCGACTTTATCCAGCCAGTACCTCTCAACCTCCAACACAAGCTCAGGCCCCCCACCCCAGCGGGGTGATGTTCCACATCTCTACATCCAGTCACCCTGTCTTGACCACCACCCAGTTGTTTCTACACCTGACCCCTATGGATCCCTCTGCAGGTGGTGGGTTCAGGGGAAGGCTGTTCCATGTTGTCCGTTCGGGCTGGGCCCGGCCGGGCCCCATGTGCAAAGGCACCAAGCGCTCGCATGCGAGCCCCAACCCCAGGCCTGGCTCCAGGGTGGGGCCATGGCTGCGCAGTACCGGGCGATGTCACGGTATGTCACAAATCATCCTACTCACTCTTTGAAGGAAAATGCACTTATTTTAAATGAAATCAACTAGCATTTAATTTTTTGCTGAATTATTTAACAGAAAGCTAAATGACTTAGTCTGAATCATGAGGACCAATCTTTACAGAATGTGGAGGCTTATGACCTGATGCTGTATGATTTTCAAATAAGTGATATACAGGTTACTTTCTGAAGAAGTTTGTAATTCATTTAAAGCTTAATCTTCAGGTGGCCTTTGAACCTTTGGATGTAACTGTCCAGCTGATGAATGGTTTCATTACATTACATGCTGTTCTGATCCACAAATCAACCAATCTCTTTTTCATTAACAATGTAGCTAAACCATCCTCCTCTTTATTATTTTTATGTTCACATCATGAGAGGAAGCCTAAGAGTCGATCAAGCATGCCTGCATATGGAGGGTCATAGGAAGTAGAAGTAGTGGAATTCCTGTACCTTCTAATAATCTTTAAATCTGTTAACAGTCTGTTGTTTTTGAAATTTACCTCAAACTATGCTGACAAAAAATGTACAGGTGCTGGTCATAAAATTAGAATATCATGAAAAAGTAGATTGATTTCAGTAATTCCATTTAAAAAGTGAAACTTGTATATTATATTCATACATTACATACAAACTCATATATTTCAGATGTTTATTTTGTTTAATTTTGATGATTACAAATGACAACAAATGAAAATCTCAAATTCATCATATCAGAAAATTAGAATATTACTGAAGACCAATAAAAACAAAGGATTTATAGAAATGTTGGCCAACTGAAAAGTATGAACATGAAAAGTATGAGCATGTACAGCACTCAGTATTTAGTTGGGCCTCCTTTGGCCTGTATTACTGCAGCAATGCGGCGTGGCATGGAGTCGATCAGTCTGTGGCACTGCTCAGGTGTTATGATAGCCCAGGTTGCTCTAATAGTGGCTTTTAGCTCTTCTGAATTGTTGGGTCTGGTGTATTGCATCTTCTTCTTCACAATACCCCATAGATTTTCTATGGGGTTAAGGTCAGGAGAGTTTGCTGGCCAATTAAGAACAGGGATACCATGGTCCTTCAACCAGGTACTGGTAGCTTTGGCACTGTGTGCAGGTGCCAAGTCCTGTTGGAAAATTAAATCTGCATCTCCAAAAAGTTGGTCAGCTGCAGGAAGCATGAAGTGCTCTAAAACTTCCTGGTATGTGGCTGCGTTGACCCTGGACCTCAGAAAACACAATGGACCAACACCAGCAGATGACATGGCACCCCAAACCATCACTGACTGTGGAAACTTTACACTGGACTTCAAGCAACGTGGATGAAGTGCCTCTCTTCTTTTCCTCCAGACTCTGGGACCTTGATTTCCAAAGGAAATGCAAAATTTACTTTCATCAGAGAACATGACTTTGGACCACTCACCAGCAGTCCAGTCCTGTTTCTCTTTAGCCCAGGCAAGACGCTTCTGACGCTGTCTGTGGTTCAAGAGTGGCTTGACACAAGGAATGCGACAGCAGAAACCCATGTCTTTCATACGTCTGTGTGTGGTGGTTCTTGAAGCACTCAC